TGCTGGTCTCAAAATATCTGCAGTCATATCGAATCGTTCCTTTTGACGAACAATGCATCAAGAGTCGAGAATCAAGGTATATGAAAAAAAAAAAAAAAAAAAAAAAAAAAGTTCATCATAAAATTAAAATTAGTATTAGCCCAAGCCAATTCTTCCTTTTTCCACTTTTTCCGTGTTCAAAAAAAAAAAAAAAGAAAGGGGAACGCCAGTTTCCATGCTTCACGTTGCTCCCCCATCCGGCTTGACCCCTTGCTGTGCAAATCACACGCAGGTAATGTAGCCCCAAATATGTAAAGATAAAAAGGAGCAGCTCGACAAAGCTTCTCGTCATTATTGGATCAAAATTGCGCCTGTGCAAATCTGCTTCCTTTGCTGTATGAACCGTGCATGTCACCCAGCGTTTTTTTCTCAACTCATTGCCAACATGAATATTGGCGCTCTAGTGCTTTGCAGAACCATTCTGCTTATCTTCATCGTGTTCGTAGTGAACTTCGAGCTTGGGCACGTCCTTCTTTCCATTGTGCTTGCTTGAAGTGGGCTTCTTCGATTGTTCCTCTTCTTCATCGTCTTCTTCATCAGATCGATCATCAGTGGCCTCTTTGTCGCGAATAAATCGGATGGCAATACGCAGGATGTAGAAAAGCCAGAACAGATTCAAGGCCTGAAGGGAAGCAAGCAGGGCAGTAGTGATATACTGACTGATCCAGCACTTGTACTGCTGAGTCTCCCAATTGAGCTCAAAGGGGCCGACGGTACGGAACTCGGTGAACAGAGACCAGATGATCTTGAGGTTAATGTAGTGGCGCATGTAGATCCAAACGGCAACAAAAGTGGCGAAATAAGGAGCGACGATAGGGTGGTCGATGTAGTTGAGAGCTTTGGATGAGGCGAGGAAGAAATCGCTGATGTCGTGGGTGATGTAGACAGCAATGCCAATGTAGGTGAAGTGGAAGCGGTAACTCAGGCCGATAAGAGCTAGACTGACAATGTGGTGACCGACGAGCTCCTTAAAGTCCTTGCGCGGCTTCTCCATTCCCAGGAGAAGAACGATGGCCTGCTGGGCCCAGTAGGCAGCCTGGAAGAGGTAGTAAAACTTTACAACGCCCTCGTGCGAACGATGCGGGAAACCCTCGTACATGCCGCGTGTGTTAAAGTACCAAACAGGCGTGCGGCTCATGACGTACATGCCAGCAGGTCCCAAAATGCCAAAGTATAGGGCTGTGTACACCTGTTCCATGAAGCGGGCCTGCTTTCCCTTGCTGAGACCCGTTCTGCGGGCTAGCGGACGCAACACTTCCTGCATGATGAATTCACGAGTAAAGGACAAGACAATGGTGTAAAAGGCGACAAACGCAATGTCCCATTTGCCCTTGCCATACTTGATTGGCTGGAGGGGATCATCTTGGGGAATCGGGTACGACAGGAAGATGAAGTGGTGGAGGGGATTGGCTTCCGATGGGTTGACGGCGTAACCAGTCAGGAACGTGAGTAGCAAGACGGCAGGCAAGACAAAAGTGTGCTTGACCATGGTCTGGCGAATTTGGGAGAATAACCCACGGGCGCGTCGGCGCTTCGAAGGCCTAGGATTGCCAGAGTGGTCTTCTGAGCTCTCGGATGAGTAGTTCTGTCGAGTTGCGGCGGTTAGCTTGAGAGCAGAAAGATCGGGAGCGACAATCTCACCTCGGAGTCTTGGGCATTGAGACTGACTCGGCTGGACGCCAGCGCGGGCGCGCCAGTGTCACCAGCCCGAATCTCTCCTCCAAGGCCACTGCTCTTGCGCCTGCGCCTCGCCGGGTTGACGTCAGCACCGAGCAGTTGGTCTGCCGACGTGTTGAGCAGCGGGAAAGGCTCTACCCCCGCCATTGTGCCCGAAGCGTGGTCTATATGTCTTGGATGCGGAAAAGTGGTGTAGCTGTGGTGTAGCTCGAGAAGAAAAATCCCCTTTGGCCCCTTTGAGACTGTTGCGCCTGGAGATGCGACCTGCCGTCTCGCTAGAACAAACGGCAGATAGCTCAATCGGCCGAAGAAAGAGGAGAGCTTGTCGGACGCTGGAAAAAGTCGGAGGATAAAAGGAGGCAAAAGGCAGGTAATAACAGAGCTGCCACTACCACTCCAATTGGGATCGTTGGCCTCTTGTTCCCCCCCCCTGTCGATGTCGCGGCGCGCAAGCGCAATTGATTGGTGGTGTGGGGTGCGAGGATCAGCTCGATGTGCGACTCGCGTGGATTATCCGCTTTGTCTCGTCTCACAATTCGTGCTAGTGAGCCTCGGTTTGGGTCGATTCGCGCGTGGGCCAACCGCCAGCAAAAAAATGGCGGTCTGTTTTCTGGAGAGTCAACAGAGGCAGAGGACAGCCAGGACAGCTTGGTCGTGGAGCTCTTATAAGGCGTAGTCGGCAAAGACGTCAGAACAAGGAGCAGAGACGGCGAGACCGTGGCTTCGGACTTTGACGAGGTTCCGAGGTGGAAGCGTGAGACGCAAGATAGGAGAGGAAAGGCCTAGAGAGAGAAGCAGGACGGCGCTCGGTGAGGTGGACGTGGTGTCGTGTGTGATCGGGCCCCAGATTAGGGGGATAAGCGGTCATGCATGCACAGTGGATGATCAAACATGAATGTTTGTGCCGCGTTGGATATTGGAGGAAGGGAGAAGAAGAGAAAAAGAAGCGCTTGGTGGAGTTGCACACAAACACAAACAAATCCTGTCCCACCAGCCAAGAGCAAAGTACCGTCTACAGGACATGCGCTGCGAAAGGCAGATGCTGAGAGGTAGGCGGTACCAAATCCCACAAGGCAGGTGCCGCTAACAAGAAAAAATCGAACTTGTTCTGTGGCGGAATGGCAGCGCTGAAAATGCACGCAACGCAGCACTTGCTCTTGGCAATCCAGTATCAGCTCACCACAAGTACAAGTAAATATCTACTGCCCATCACTCAGAACGCATTTAGTAAGCGAGTGGTTGCTTGCAATCGTTGAACGTGCTCCGACCATCAAATGCTAACATCACACATGCACCTCCTCTCGTCTTATTTGTGACACGAATACCTACGTGTACTGCTTGCTGTACTATGCGGGTGCGCTGCTTATCCAGAGGTCGCACGACGTAGGTACCCGCAACACATCACCAAGACAGCACCAGCCAGTTTATAACTCGCAATCTATGAATAGCAAGCGCATTACCTATAGCAGACTGCTCGCGAAACATCATCACAGCTCACCACAGCTTTCCAATTCGACGAGCTACAGTACATCCATCTCTTTCCATCTATCCAACAAGAAAGATGAGATAAGCAGCCAAACAAGCAAACCACAGCCGCTAAAAGCTGGGATCCTGTTTTAATCTCTTCCAACATGCCTCTCCCGCCTCCTCACTGGCCCAATGCCCCCTTCCAAAGCCCACAAAAACCAACCGCCATGACCCTTGACAGCCAGCCATGCACGCGGTTTAAACTCTCTCCAAGCCCGCCAGAGCAAAAAAAAAAAAAAAAAAATTCTTGCGTCCAAGGACCCTGTTAGTCCCATTCGGGAAGCGAGGGTCCCCTGGCATTTTTCCTTTCTAGTGATTGTCCGTTTTTCTTTTTGCGTTTTGGCTGGGCGGCCTGTCACTTTTTTTTTTTGCATTGTTCCGCTCTCCGTCAACTTTATTAACATTACGCGTATCTAATTTAAAAGACTGTGACTTCGGCAGAAACGAGAATTTTTTTTTTTTTTTTTTTTTGTAAGCACCAATCGGCTGCGTCGTAATACGTACACGGAGCGTTGCGACCTACACCACGCACGATCGGCTCATGGTGGCCCGTATTCCGAAGGGCAGGGATACGGAGCATGAATCATCACAAATTCCATTCAGTAGTCAACGTTTGGTGACATAATCGGCGTTTTGACGACAATGCCCGTCTAAGAAGCGATGATTTAATTGCAGCCATTTGGAATCAGACACTTTCTGTTGGTAATAAAGTAAAAACCTCTGAAGCTGCTGGGTGTAAAAAACGCCCGCAATCTCAGCCAAGAAGCTTGATTCTTTTGGGCGCGTGATACGAATAGTGCGCTCACAATAATTTGTCTGGAATGCGGAGCACACCTGCCAAACATGGGAACTCGTCTACCTACCTATAGAGAGACAGCACCCATTCGAGTTTACTTCAAATATGAGCCATCGAGTCCATACGACCCTCTTACTAATTTGATGATAGCAAGCAACGTGCTTTGATACCGCAGACGTGGCGAAAGTAGCAAGAAAGTAGCAGCAGAAGTACCTAGTACAATGTCATAAAATCAAGATATGACGAATCCCAAAACAAACATCAGAATCAAAAAACGATCGCCACCCAATCTGCTTAAGAGAATATATAGCTCATTTATTAAAATTTCATTCATATCAAACAGCTCATTTTGTATCATCTTCCTCTCCATAGCATCAATCATCTGCCCTCTGCACATCTCCCCGAGAGGGGCTCCGGGGTATAGCTATCTGTTCTCAGCAAACTTCCATATATACTCGTACATATACATCCCAATCATAAAACCTTTCGCTATTTTAATCCCAAAATCCAAGAAAGAAGAAAAAAAACGCCATGCTCAAAGACAAAAAGCACCTATGAAGAAGAGAGTGAGAAAGAGGAAAGAAGAGGAGGAAGCCGAATTTATCATGCATCAAGACGGCCCCGGTTCTCTCGGTGGTATTGTATTCCTGTCCTCTTGCCCAGTGTCCGGCTCATCAGGGTTATGGTCGCGAGAAATCACAGAAGACGTCTCCGTCACAGAATCATCATACGAGTAATCGTCGTCGTAGAGGTACCGATTTCGCACTCCCGGCCATAAAGGTGGATTGCTTGGCGGTATCGGTCTCTCGTACGCTGAAGCCGCCGCATTCGCCGTGGGACAAATGCCAGGGCCCATGTGGTTTCGTCTCCTTGCTTCGTACATCTCCTCAGAAGATGAGCTGCTGCTAGATGCTCGTGCTCGTCGCAACGCCGATGCTACCGAACCGCTTAAATCTTCTCCTTCTTCCTCAAGAACCTGTTGCAGTGCCGCGCCTCGCCGTGCTGGTGCCGGTATCACCATCACGGGGAGATTATCCGTATCTGTCGTGGGCCGGAACCTTTCTCGAATCCTCTCTGCTTGGCTGGCTGCAAACTCCTCCAATCTGCTTCTTATATCCCACCGATTGGTGTCCATATGACCTCTTGAAGTAGTAGCAGACCGCGCATCCGAAAAAGCTCTAGGAGATTGCGGCGTTGACGTGGTGTCATGGCTTCCACGACGAAGCAGCGTCTGCCAGCGACCGCCACCACCAGAAGAAGAATTCGCTTCCAGATCCGGTACCCTTGGTTCTTGTATCACAATATGACTTGCCGGAGAATCGCCCGGAGAGATGGATGAAGGTGCTAGGTTTGTCGAAATCGCGTCTTCCACAGGAGGACTGCGCCTTTGGTTGTGGCTCGCCGATCTTGAAATATCCGGCCTGGGCTGCGGGTGCGGGTGCTCTCTCTGATATCTTACCGCATACACAGTGCTGGCAGCACTTGTTGTATCGGTCCTGCTGGCCGGTGTTACGGCTGGAGCAGGTCGTGAGAGCCAAACTGGCGGTCTTAGAATGTGTCCTGATGTCCTCTCCACCTCTGCACCACTAGTTTCGCTCATATCACGGCCGCGGCCGGTATTTCGTTCCCGCTCGCGATGGCGACTGCTGATAACTGACACCCCTGGCCATCCGTTGCCTTCAGTTGGTCTTTGCTCTCGCGCCGTGATGATGACGCCTCTACCATCCCCGCCGTTTACTTTGTATCCTCTTCTCTTCCGTGACCAGGGAACGTCTGCGGCATCAACTTCCAACGTATCATCCCCATCAAATACCTCTCTTCCAAGTATTCCATCCTTCTTCTCTTCTCGTTCCAAAGCTTCAATCCGTTCCACCCATTCCCAAACCACCACACTGGCCGCTGCCGCACCAACCCATCGCACGTAGTCTCCCCAGCCTGTAAACTCAGGCTTCGATATATCAAGTATGAAAAAGACAACTGGTATCAATATGGCTCCTAAAGAAATGATGGCCACCAGACTTATGTTCTTCATCAAGGGGTGGTAGAAAGCATATCGTTTCTTCATAATTGCGTAGTACACAACCCACGCAGCGTACAGCACTCCAAGCGCCAGCTGAAACAAGTAACTAAGCGCCGGGATGGGATGGCTAAAGCTTTTGGGCATAGAATTGCCATTGCTGTCCGGATCCGAGTATAAAAAGCTGTTGAGGGCGCTAAAAATGACATCAAGACTGATGAGGAAAAAAGCAGCCCATTTGATTATGATTTTCTCGCGGTGGCGCGGGAACAGCCGGATCAGCGTCTGCGCCTGCGCGAGCCAAAGAAAGGTGTCGGACACCACCCGGATCGCCTTGAGCTCCGTACTCCCCATGACCTCGTTCTGGAGCACTTTGGCATTCTGCACGCCCCATATGTACTGTATTTTGGCGATCCGGAAAGTGTCGGCCGTGGCTATCGTGAGAGATATCGCAACTGACAAGGCGGCCAGCTTCTGCAGCCACGGACGCCCACCGATATTGACGCCCCCTGAAGAAGAATTGGTAAAGCCACCGGGCCGGCCAAGGTAGACAACGCCGCTATCGAAGAAAGACCTTGGCGTGATAAAGAGCATGATGACGAGCATCCAAGCGGTAACGGTAGTCGCTGCGAGGGCGTAGCAGATGGGAAAGCTCGAGGCGTAGAAGGGGTCCCGGAAATCGGAAAAATGCGGGCTGTCATCGTCATCACCGTCGTCTCCGAGGTCCTGGAGAGTCAGGCTCGAGCCTCCGTCGCCGGTGCTGGTGCTCTCCGGGACCGCAACGGAGACTGTCGGTATTGTCGCGGTTGGGCACGGTGCCTGGAAGAGGGCGTCGTTGTCGAGCGTCAGGATGGCATTATCCGACTCTCCGCTCAGGGAGAGGATTCCGTTCGCCGGCAGCCACGTGCTGGTGCACAGCGCCATCGACGCCTCGAGGGACGACGTAGCCGCGAGAGCCGCCACATGGGTGGCCATGGACGTCACCGACATGGTTGGATCAGAGCGGAACCAAGATCGTGATGTCAAGAAAGAGGGCTCGTCGATTTCGTCAAAGAGTCAACCGGCGAGACGGCGACGAGAAAAGGAGAGGGTGCCAGTCGGAGCTTATCGCGGGATCGCCATGGAAAACGGTGTCGGCGGAGAGAATGAGCTGAGCTGAGCTGAAATGCCTCCTCTCCTCGGTACTTCGTTTCGCTTCGGTTTCGCTCGATAGGCGGCGTGCCTCGCGCAGGCAACCTCACAAATCTCAATCCAAGACACGCTGACGGAACCGACCCACGACGGCGCCAGCAGGGACGAATCGAATCTCAACGGCGAGAGGCGCCACGTTACCAGAATGTCCCTGTGCAAGTCAAAAAAAAGGGCGAATCGTGAAATCGATATCGAATTCAGGCGAGCGCGAGAAAATCGAGCGTCATAACAACCGGTGGCGCAGCTTTGTAACAATATAGCTAGGCGGGAAAAAAAATGGCCTGTCCCTCGTCCAGTCTCCGGGCTTCCGCGTGCACTGATACCAGTATCCTCGTGAGTAGCGTCCAAAGGTCCCGTCTCTTCTATTCACCTAGCCCTGAAAGTTTGATTAAAGCTCTGTGATCGATCTCGGCGAAATTCGACAATTGGAAAAGTAATGGGGAAATCTATCTTGGGGGAGAAGAGAGAGAGAGGAGTTGGCTAGTGGCTGCGACTTACTCGCTGAAGAACAAGCAGCCGGGTCGCGTGGCGTGCACTGTGTTGCTACTGGCCGTGGTGGCGGCACAACGTGGTGCGGTGCCTTTTGGGGCTGCGGGGGATTGGGGCCGCAGAGGACCCGGGCCAATGGGCGCAGAGAGCAGCACATGGTGCAGCATACAGTGTGTCCAATAGAGCATCGGCACGGCTCCATACTTTGAGCTAGTAATTCCGACGAAGACCAATGTGCGATATTGGTGAATAAGTCTGTCGTATCTGCAGGCAGGTAGACCGAGATTGTTCGTATCCAGAATACGCAGCTCAGATAGAGTTTATCAAGTCATGGCAATCATCCTGACAGCTGGAACTGACAGGCCGCTAATTCTGCTCCCTATCCCACAAAAAAGACTTTGCCATTCCACGTGTTCCAACCCAAAAATAATACCCATACAGAGGTCCAAATCCGATATAAAGAACCAAACAGGAAGTCGGAGCTGCGCCGCGCCGCGAACTTTTGTCGCCCATTTGCCCGCTCAACCACTGTGGAATGCGGAGTAACTGCTAATCGAGAAGTAGCCTTTTAGCTTCCCAATCTGCTGGATAATACAACTAATCCCAATACTACGGCACCAATTGACAAAAAAAGCCCTAAAAGAATCGAAACTTTTTACTCACGCGACTTATACTGCCAAGAAAAAGGGGTCTCTCGTCGATTTCTTCTCGACATGGCCCCCTTAAAATGGAATCGCAAAAGAAGCACTAAAGAAGCGTTCGGGGAAATTCACAGCAAATGAGAGATGAATCGTCCTGATTTCTTCACATGCTTGTCCGCGCTGGTCTTGGCAAAAGCTTGTCTCCGCAAACCCGCAGTCTTGGCGCGCATGCTCTAAATCCTACCCAAAAAAAAAAAAAAATTCTCATCCCTTCTTCAGCTTTACGTTGTGAGAGAACCTTTCTAAGTGCTTCGTGAATTTATGTTTTGCTGCGCCAATGATGTCAAACTAGAATATATTCATCCTGTCAAGGAACAGAGAATCAACGATCCCCTCTTGACGCCTCTTGATGCTGAGTTGTAATAATGTACATTTCGCTATTAGTATAATCCTTTTACTGCATTCTTCTTTCTTCCTATTCTTTTTGAAAACCCTCAAGTACCCAGCCTTCCACGAGCCACTCTGCGTGGCCAAACCGATCCATTTCCACTCATATCTTCATTTCATAGGTATATCCCTTTCTTCATGTGCCTTTTCCCTTTTTGTTGCGTTCCTTAAAATAAAGTCGTAATCCCCCCTTTATTCCCCATATGTGTATGCATTGCTTTCCTCCCCCTCTCCCTTAATCTTCATCCTCTTCCTCCTGAGGTCCGCGATACTTCATTTCCAGCACCCATTTGCCGTCAAACTCGATACCTTTCCGAATCTTAGTGCCAGCCTTCCTCCAGATAGTGCTTCCCAAGCCCAAATCGGCAATAAACAGCCGCCACTCGTCCTCATGAATGATATTCGTTGGCAGGGCCGTATCATCATCAGGGGGTGGCGTAACGGCCTCCAAAAGTCCCTTTTTGGGTGCACCTATGGCAACAACGTAGCGTGGTTTGACGAACAAGTGACTTCCATCAATAATAGCCACATTGCCGTTTGATGGATCAATACCTGAAGGGATATCTACTGCCAGTACGAATGCCTCATTCCGGTTCGCCCATTCCATCAATTCGTATACCGACGCTTGGTCACCGACTCGCAGTTCCTCAAACGACATGGTAAGGCCGAGCAACGCGTCGATGATGAGGGAAATTGATAAGCCACTGCCCGCTCCGGTACCTTTTCGAAGAGACTCAAAGAAGTCGTTCTTGCTTAATATCCGACCTCCAAAATTTCTGTAGAGCTGGATCTGCCTCTTCAAATCTTCCAGCAAGTCTCGCTCGCGCTCAATACCAACCAAACATACGACCACGTCAAAGTTTTTGTTTCGAAGATGGCGAGCAGCAGCAAGCGCACGAATGCCTGACTTGTGGTTGCCCGCAAGTATCACAATGGTAGATGAACGCACCGAAGCATCGCTAGACGCTCCCGCTACGACCATCTCGAATCGGACTTTCATGGCTGGGTCTGACAGTACGGCCACGGCGACTTCGGCGATACCTCTTCCTGCGTTTTCCGCCATCAAGGTCTCGCTAAATCCAATCTCGTTTGCAGCAATGTTTTCAATGTTCAGCATCTGAAGCGTAGATATCGTCTCGACGCGTCGATTTGAAGGCAGGAGATACAACCCAGGGTGTTCTTGCTGCTGCTGCTCGTAGTCGGTGCTGCGGTGCCCGGTCGTGGGGCTAGATCGGCGAGACGCTTGATATCGCAGACTAGAGTTGACCCTACTTAGGGGCTGGCTTCCAACGGGAACAGCAGTGCCTGCCTTGCGGGACTGCGAGCGCCTAGCACCAGTTTTGCTGTCAGGCCTCCGGCCAGTTTGGCTGGCATTCTTGTGTTCTCGACCGCTTAGCTTCTCTGATCCGTTGGCACCAACATCTGCTTCGCTATTCCAGTAATCTGCATTTGCCGCGGCCGTTGTGGAGGGCAAATCCAGGACGTTCTCGGTGTAGTGCAGATTCTTGCCGCCCGCCGTTCCGGGCTTGGGCCGGCGATTATGTGCTACAAGGCGACTCGCATCGTCAACGGTATCCTCCTTTCTCATTTGGTCAAAAATCTTATGCTTGTCAAACTTGGCCAGATTGTTCTCGAAGTCGAAATCGCCCATTTCCTCTGTAACATCCTCAGATGCCCATCCATTGTCCAGGAGACTCTTTGAATTCTTTCCATTCCGTCTAAGAGCGGTGAAAGGTTGGAAAGAGGAGGTGCTCTGCAAGATTGGAGTCTGTCTCCAGCCTTTCCCATGTCCTTGCGTCTGAGCGGCCGATTGCGCTTCGCCTAGATGCTCTCTATGAGCCTTCGGGTGCCGCCGCGCTTTCTTCTTTTGCTGTTGTTGTGTGGTACCCGAGACCTCTTTGACGTGTCGAGGTTTGTTGCTCGACAGACCTTTCGGAGTGGCTGCTGAGTCTATCTTCAAATCCTTCACCGACGCCACAAGGTTGTTCTCGTCGCCAGAGTCGACCGATGACCGCCCCACATGAATGCCAAATAAGACTCCTGGTTGTCCTGTTGGGTCAGTTTGGTCTGCAGCCTTTTCAGAGTCAGTCTTCAACTTGCTAGACGCAGCTGATTTGGGCCGTCTTCCGAGACTCAGAATAGCCGGATCGACAAAGGCAGCCTGGGCCGGCTGAGTCGGAGTCTGTGCGGCTGACTGACTGGACGGCTGCTGCACGGTGTGCGTTGAGCCCGTAGGTTTCTCAGCAGGCAGAGGGTTCTGATCTGGCCTGTCGTCACAATTGACTTCTGAGAGATCGGCAATATTGGAGGCATCGATTCGCATATGGGGGACCCATGCTCGCGTGGCAGCAATGAAAACTTGGTTGTCAAATCAGTCATGTCCATGTCCATTCCAAGATGCTGGGGAGAAGCTCGAGATGATAAACGCGCTTACCGTTTGTCAAGGTGAGGCTGCTTCCTGCCTGTACATCGCGAACGGTGCCTGTGAGCTGGTGCCCAGGAGGGTTTCTCAGCACCACCCGCATGTGCAGGCCGGCAAACTGGCTTGCCATGGTGACACCTCAAGTCTGATTCGCGAGTGGTGACTTGATCTCTGTAACTCCGCCGTGCCGCCTCGCAAGCGATGAAGAATAAAGCACAGAGTGCAGTGCCACAGTCTGTTCCTTTTGGTCTTTAAATCGGCATCTAGGTACGAGGCAGTACCCTGATAAGCCTTGTAACAAAGGCTCACTCGACAGGTGATATGGAAGTGATCGCGAAGTGTCGCCGTCCCAATGGATGTCGTTTAAAGGCTGCAATAATCGTATGTGATAAAGTCGGTTTAGTGACGAGATCGTGAACGTTTTCTCAGCAGCGCTATATCGCGGAGGCGCGTGGGCGGAGAGAGCCCCGAGGCAGCTCCAACCACGCCGGGAGGAATTTGGGACACGCGCGCACTTGGAGATGCAGTCGGCAGCGAGGGCAGGCGCAGGCGCCTGGAATTGTCGCCGAAATGTGCTAGAATAATGTTGAAACCCTCGAGGATATCAGACCAAGCACTCCGGTTTTTTGCCTCGTCTCCGCCGGGACAACCAGGACGTTACGGGGAGGGTAGCGGTAAGAAGAGAAGACGATAATTTTTAGCAGACGATATGGATGCTGGCTGGCAGCTTTGGCTGCAGACACAAAGCGGTTTGGACGTGGTGAAGCTAGCAGGTGCAAGACTAACCCCAACCGGGTCGCCGATAATCGATAACAGCCCTTGCAGCACCCTAAAAGGAACCTCAAAGTCCCAAAGCAACGGCGCCGTCAGCGCTGATTAGGGGTGTTTGCGCTCCCCCTGCAGCGCAGATATTGCTGCTGGTGCGCTAGCCGCCAGCCACTAGCCCGCGATCTTAGAGGCTGGTGCTACGTTGAACATGGGCATTGAACATTGGGCGCATCTTGAACGTCACTGCGCGTGCAGTAAGCCGAGCACAAGGCTCTTACTAAGTTGGATATCATGCGCATAAGACCAGGCAAAGTCCAGGCAGCCTGCTGACTTGCCTAATGATCCTCTATCAACTGCTGCGTGTTGAACAAATGACTTCTTGTAGAATTGTATGCGACGCAAAGAATCTTTCTTACTTGTAGCCGCAGCCTTCTTTCAGCTCAATTCCGATCTCGAATAGGATATCCCGTTATTTGTCACCGTGGATCTCTCCGGAACAGTCATGATGGAAATATGTAAAAGTACAGGTAGGTGTCCACCAAAACATGCGGTAGTATTACGTCCTTATTACCTAGGATACAGCCTATTTAGGATACAGCCTGCACCCCATGTCGTGATACATACGGGCAGATGACTAGGTAGGAAATGAAAATCTCTCTGGCTGCACACATCTTGGAAATCAGAAAAAAAAGAAAAGAAACAAAGTCTCGAAAATGCATATTCAATTCATGATAGGCCTACCTCCAAGGCCAATTCAAGACATTCAGAGATTACCTACAAAATCGCCGCCTTCTATTCGAGCCTTAATCAGCTGTCCTCTTGGATCTAAATATTTTTTTTTTCAATGAGGGGAATCATGCAATCGTATAATAACAACACCAGCAGCACCCAATAGTAGTACAAATTCTCTCATATATGATACCGGTCTATAATTCGCCATGATAAAAGACCTAAAATGCCATTTCGCTCTCGTCTTCCTCGTCTAGATGAATAATTTCTCAAGCGGAAGCACTCGTGGCGCCTTTCCTATTGGCCATGAAATCCGTTATGGAATTGGGCCTTCTTGACGCTGCCTCTTCAGCACTGTAGAGCTGCCTGTAAAACCCAATGACCCGGGGGTGGGCCATGACTTTATTCTTGTCAAAGCCCAAAACTCGTAGTCCCTGTTGGCTTGTAGCACGGCTCAGTGCAACATACGCTTGACCCTTCTCAAACACTTTCCCCAGATTGACAGTGACTCGCTCGAGCGTCTGTCCTTGGGCTTTGTGAATAGAGAGCGCCCATGCGAGGATCAAAGGGATCTGGACTCGCTTGGCCTGGACGTCGCCATTAGGAAGCTCTACCTTCCACTCCTCTGGCTGGCAAAGAATTACTCGCGCCACACCATCTGTTGAAATGAACCGGACGACGGGGAACTTCATGCCAGACCCGTCTGGCTCGGGCTCACGGCTAAAGGCTTTTAATTTTTTTCGTGCCTTTGCCATTGCTTCGTTGTCTCCGTCATCAAAGTCATCCATGTCCGACATGTCAAATGACTTCTCATCAGAAAAGGCAATGACCGTGCCGAGGGATCCATTTACCAGGGATCCATCAAGGTTCTTGATAAGCATGACCTGAGAACTGACTTTGAGCTCAATAGATTTTGGAGCCATCATGTTTTGCAGCAACTTTTCTCGAACGTTGACGTCTCCTGTATCTATAGCGTCGTATCGGTTCGGCTGTCCAGGCAGCTCCCTCAGCCGCCTTTCGTTGGACCCATCAACTTGTGCTCGTGTAGGAAAGAGCTCGGCCGACTCCACGCCATCGTTGAACTCAAGCGGTCTCGAGAGTTTTTTGAAGGTGTCCACTGTCTGTTGGCTAATCTGCCCCAGTCGCATCTCATTTAACATGTTGGCAAAAACGGGATCTCGCTGACGAAACACTTGTGTAAGTCCAATCGTATGGTCGATTGATGTAGTCCAGGTAGCAGCATCAAAAGCAAACTTGGCTTCGCTCTTCTTATCTCCGTCAGGAACAGGCGGGAGCTGGAAAAAATCGCCTGTAATAACCAGCTGAATGCCGCCCCACGGCCGGCCGTTATTTCGAATTGTTCTCCCAATCTGCGACAGCTTGTCAAACAAGTCGCCATCCACCATGGAAATCTCATCAATGATGAGACACTTTGTACGAAGCCATCTCGTCTTGGCTTTGGGATTTCTTCTGATTTTTTTCACAAGAGTGGGCGCATCTTCCTTTCCAAGTCCAATACCTGTTGAACAGGGTCAGCCTAGATCATCAACGGTAACAGCCGACAGCAACAGGCCCATGGCCTAGGTGAGCATCAAGCCTACCTGAAAAACTGTGGAGCGTAATTCCTCCAATGTTACACGCGGCAAGGCCCGTTGAGGCAGTCACAGCCACCCGCTCGCGATCTCGGGCGTGTTTGGCTCGCAGTTGGGTGATGATGGCTCTCATCAAAACTGATTTTCCTGTACCAGCCGGACCAGTGAAAAACACGCTCTTGCCCTGATTTACCACTAAATCGAGCACACGCTCCTGTTCCTTACTCAGATGGATGGCTTCGCCTTTATTAGAGGCGTCGTGGGTTTTCCCGAACTGTGGCGGCCGCTCATCTATGCCTTGAGAATCCGCTCGAGCGGATTGCTGAATCTTGAGCTGTTTCTTCTGCTCATTGAGAGCATCGGCAGAAGCTTCCCATATGCGCTTTGGCTTTGTTGGTTGGACGTATGCAGGGACATCAAATGGGCCTTGGTCTTGGCTCAGTTCAGGTTCTGAGCGGAAGCTTGCCGGCAAGACTCGCTTCTTCTTGGAAATGGGAGGTCCTGTCAGGTCGCTCTCGCCAGACGAATCACGTTTCAATGAAACTGTCGACAATGGTTTAGAAGGAAAGTAGTGAGATTTGGGAGAAGAGGACCAATCAATCGGCTGAGTCTGCTGAGGGGGGAAATCGTCCTCTTCTACAATGGGAGGCTTTGGGTCTGGGAGTGTGGGAAGCGCTGACGGCGCCTTAAAGTCGAGATCGAGATCATCATCATCGCTAAAGTCGTCTTCCACGAAGTAGACATGCTCTTTGGTCTTTTCGTTGTTTTCGGGTCCGGTAAGGTCAATAGTCTCGGGGTTGGCCTTGAACGGGTCGGATTTGCCGTACAGAGATGCCAGCGAGCCCGCGGCACTACCACCAGAGCTGGCCATTGGCTGCTGCTGCTCCGGAGACTTCGAAAACGGCGTCGTCCTCGCCGACAATGCAGAAGCGCTGCTGAGAGCCGAGCCCGTCCCGGCCTTTTTGAGCTGGTCTCGAATATCCGTCGTCATGGGCGACGCACTCGGGCTGCTGGACGGGAACAGCTGCTTTGACAGGGCATTGCGCCCGGGGGGGTCGCTGGCCTTGAACGCCTTGTTGGCCTTGACAAACATCGAGTCGGCTGCTGCGAGAGACGAGTTACGAGGCGTCCAGTGGGCATGGGCAAGCTGGCCACGGATGCTCTGCGAGGTCGGCGAGGATCGAGCTGGGCGGCTCCAGAGGCTGGCCTTCATAAACAGACGCCTGGAGAGAGGGGAACCCGGGGATCGCAGTGCCACGCAGCTATAGCGAATACCTGGACATGCACCATCACATCCCAGGCCAGGCTCTGCGGTACCGATCGAGATGCTGCTAACTTTGAACGGAGGCGCGTCCCCCAGGCTGTGGGACGTGCAATCAATCAACGCGTGAGAAGCCGCCCGCTAAGTAAATCGCGTATCCATGCAAGCTTGTGCTGGAGGCGCGCTAAAAACAGTTTTTGACACCTGAGCTCAGGTGGGAAATTGCTTAGTCATCGACATCAATTGTTCAGTAGCAGCCTTCCTGGTTTCTTGGGCAGAATACCTAGGTAGGAATATAGAGGTAGATAACAAACGGTAGCCTGGAAATTACTACGGATAATAACGGGAAGTTGAAAAGATGTTCAAAGCCGTACATGTGAGGTATCTCGGGACAACTAGACTAATACTAAAAACAGGCCAACTAAACTAACAAGGCAGCAGAAGAGGCATCGATGTATGCAAAGCTCCAGAAACAGCACTTAACCTGCAGCGCGACTCATTGAGTGAGAATAGATGATACTTTGTATCTATCATGAATTAGTCATGTCAAAATATTTGAAACGCACGAAACTTATACATGACTACGCCGCGAGAAAGAGTGTTTTAGGTCTGGAGTATGTTTGAACAAACAAACTTGATATATTTCAACATAAAACGTAAAGTAATCACAGACCAGCTTCAAGAGGCGAATACAGCACAAATACTCATCGCTAGTTATTCGGCTGTATTATGCGAAAACATGACAAAACCTTCTTGATAGGTCAAAATCCAACATTAACTCCAAATAGCAGAACAAAACTAAAACTACCAAGGAGCGAATCAAGAGACGGATCTGTATCTACCTACCTAGGTAGCTTCAATGAGAACAAAAACAAAGCAGACATTGTATCTGGAAGACAACAAAAAAGAAGAAAATAACTGCGTCCCATCACCTATACTCTCTACCACTCTCTGCATACAGCAATGGACTGCTGCGGCCCAGATCCCACGGATCCTGATCAAAACGCCGTCTGCTATTCATATATCGCTGCGCATCTTGCTTGCGCCAGACAGTACCACTGGGTTCTGGCACTCTTAGCTCTTCATCACCTTCCCCATGATATTGTCTCAACGGCTCTCTGTAAGTGTGGTGAGTCACAAGGTCGGAAGCCGTCTCTGGGTAACCGTTCCTGGGCTCATCTGCCAGTGATGCACGGCTGAATCTGTCACCCAGCTGTTTCACATCTTTACCACTCGATGAATGGTATGGAACATTGTGGATATGGCCTCTTTGTTTCTCAAGAGGGCTTTGGATAAGGCGAGGTTGGCGTGATGAGTCCCTCACAGACCGAGATCTTGCCATGCGCCTCGGGGAGTCCATTGCAGGCGTGGGCTCTGGTCTGGTAGGATCAGGCACCGGAGGAGGAATACAGTCATATCTGCCCACTGAATCACGTCGTGGCCGAGGGCGGGCTACCATAATCTCCAAGGGCTCCCCGTTCCTGCTTTGGCGGTACCTACTTCGCCCTCGTCCCTCTTCGTAGTTGCGATGAGCAGATATGTCGTCAACAGAAGAGTTTGGCGTTGGATTGTCATGAGAATCGTTGCTGGAGAAAGAGCTGAAGGATGTGGTTGAACTTTTGGAACTTTGTGATCCAGGAGTAAGCTGGCGCTCCATTCTAGATGAGCTCAGTTGACGTCCATATCCTTTCTTGTCTCCTTGCTGGCGGTTATACATCTTGAGGCAATTTGCATTGCTAGATGGTTCTCTCTTAAAGTATGCCGTCACGGAAACTCGTTCTTTCCTAGGCTTGGATTTATGTCGTTCTTTGTCTCTCCTCCTATCCTTGCTGCCATGCTTGCCACGCCTTCCATGGTACTCTGTTGGAGCTTCGATCTTCCTGAACTTCCATCCTAGCTGGACAAGTGTATAGATATAGCGACAATCCGGTTCCATATTCTCCAGTCGAGTGTGCGCACGCTCCAACTGCCGTTGAAGGGCCGATGAAAGCTCACTCTTCTTATCCGATACGCAGCCCGTCTCTCGATTAAGCTCACGTACGCTATGTCTCGCCTCTTGCTGAGGTATGTCACTCAAGACCGTGTGAGATGCTTTGTCCCAGGTCGAAGGTATGAGATTGCCTTCGCCGTCGATGGCAGGCAACGACTTTTCAATATGAACGACAACATATGACGAAAGGCGCTTGCGAGCCTCTGCTTCGGTGATGCCCTCATCTCGGAGATCAACAGCTGCTGATTGATAAGAGAAGGGCATGCCTGTTTCGAAGCGGCGAGGCTCAACAGCTCTAGGACGCCAACGAGCAGTCATGTTTGGAATGGTGTGGAAGAAGATGCAGGTTATCTGTTAGGATGGGTGGTGATTTGATGAAGAGCTTTGATTCAGAGCTAGACAAGGGAAAAGAAACAGATATTTATACCCATTCTACGAACCTACGTCTTTTTCACATCGCACACACATGCTGAAATCATCTGCCAAAAAGTGAGGCGAATGCAGTAGCTGTCGTGTTTTGAGCACCTGTAGGAAGCGTATGGCCTCTAGTATTTTCCGTGTACAAGTGAGGCGAAGCTCATACCCATCACTTACACGCATTGTTTGGTGGCGTCAAAGTACGTATACCGCGGTTGCTCAATTAGGCAACTGAGAGATTTCGGTGAGCCGGACGGATCTGGTTTGAAATCCTCCTCGCCCTGCGGGGGAGAAATGTCGTGCATCCGCACCAGCGAATTACGCAAATTGTAGATGTTACTTTAACCTTGTATATACATTCATTTGAGGCCTTGGTTCCGAAATAAAAGACGTCCCTGTGGAGGTTCCCAGTACACCCCTTCAAGTAGATGTTTGCGTTTCGCATATGTCAGTCTAGTGCAAGGCTTGCCGTCCACCACGTTTCCGACGGCCACGTATGTTGAGCACGATGAGATGCCTCGTATCACATAAAGGAAATGATTGTCGGTGAATCAAGAAGGGTACACGCTGGCTGACCTTGGACGCCTTGCTGTTCGCTAGCTCAAGATGCAGCTAGCCGCCTCACTCTGACGCTATTGACATTGACCCGAGCATGTGAATGTCGACTATTCGCATACAAGGCAAGAAGCATGAAACTGCCACGCAAGAGTCTCCAATCTCCAGATTACCTAGTAGAAAGTGCTGGCTGCCTCCTCTCGTTGGAATAACCGAGGCCTCATTTTTCGAAAAGGCCCATCTCTACATCATTAATTTGCGCCAAAAGCAGGGCTTAGAGAGAGACTATCTGCCCGCGAGAGACATCAACACTTTCTCATAATGGCCATTCCATACCAACAAGAAGTCTCCCTGTCAATGCAATGCATAGTTACTCAAGATAGAACATGATAAGGCAGCCAGCCAAAAGGTCGTGCTTTCGTACAGCCTCAAACGACAGCCCAAGGCATAGCTATCTACTGTGTTACGCCGCATAGAGCTTCATATATTCCTCAACTGGGCGGTGTATGAAGTTGATCGCCTCAGGGTGATACTTGTACCACGTCGGCGTTTGAAAATCTGTGCATCGCATGCAGAACTCGGGAGATGGCGACAAGACGCAGTCGTCAGCTGAACTGTAGCCCAGTTTAACCCTCCGTCTTTGACGTTGGCAGTGATACGTATGACTAAAAATATTGAAGTATAATTTCCTTGTGCCTTGTGCCTTGTGGTTTTTTGGTTGCCTATCCCCTACTTTTTGTCGACCGACCAATCTTCTTTCCTGTATCAAGGTTTAGCCCAGGGGAGTGCCTCAAAGGCTTCTCCTGGAGTTTGACAAATAACTAACATGTTCCGAGATAACGCCACTTGGTTTACATCACACCGCCACATCGATAGCACTTGTGGGTCTCGTTGAGATCAAAAGGGAGAAGGAATTTGTTACACAGTCGTGTTTGGCTTGATCCGTTTATCTTGCCTCTAGTTGTCGAGAGGCCGCCTCGCATTAGGCATCCCCAAAATTTATTTTCCACAAAAGTACAATGGAGATAGTACAGAATAAGTACCAAGGTAATACACATCAGCAATAGCCAGGGCAAGCCAGGTCATGAGATCGTCATAGAATCGTAAATATTATATGCCTACAGGAGCTCTTGCTGAAATCAGGCTTGTAACGATGTAAAGACGCTGTCACCCTTGATGTCCCATCTGGTCCATTAGCCAGCCCTCTTCTATCAGTACCAAAACAATGCATCCAACCAAATTTGCGTCTGGGCAGATCGACTGCAGTTCTTATGCCAAGTAAGTGTAAGAGTTTTCCTCTCTCTCAAGATAATCCTTCTCAATTAAACTATTGCAGTAGTTAGCTTGTCTGACTCTCTTTGGTATATTGTGCTTTCTCGGTTCTTACCTCTCAATCTCCTTCTTAATAGCGGCTGGCTCCACACTGCCTCTCGACTTGGTCAAATTGATGACTTCGGCCACCAGTTCAGCGTGGCCCATTGTCTTGCGGCTCTTCATGATGCGCACAATCGCTGCTTGGGTCTCGAAGCGCCTATCTTGGGCAATCTTTTCGTGTGTGGCTTTGTTTTCTTCCTTGGTCTCCTTTAACTGAATCTGGTTGATCTTGACACGATACTTGGGGTCGGTAAAGGCCTTGTTAAAAGTAAATGTGTCTGTGGGATTCACATCACGGCCCTTTGGATGCTTTGTCAGAACACGCGCCTTTCCGCAGGCTAGTGACTGGAGTGTTCGATCCAAATCGCCTCCCTGGAGGCCGGTGGCCGCCGAGATTTGCTCATACGCCAAGAATCCATCTGCAGCGACATCGTTGAAGAGCAAAAGCACAGCAGCCTGGAATGCGGACACCAAGAGCTCCTTTGCCCCCTTAGGGAAGGTTGCCTTGACAGAACAGTGCGCGAGCGAGTGCTTCCATGTCAATACTCGGCCTGTGTGCTTGTTTTTGTAATGTCTTTCGAACTGCTCGGTGCGTTTGGCCACCTCATCAGGCAGATTCAGCCTAACGTCGGGATATGTCGGCCATGCAGCAGCTGAAAGGATCATCACTTGCAGATCCACTTTGCCAATGCGGTCAGGGTTGCCCTCGCACCACTCCTTGTAAGCCTCCATCTCATCTTTGGCGAGCTCTTGGTCTTTGAACATCTGCTCCAGGTTGTGGGTGAAGTTGGAGCCACACTCTCCCCGCAACTTGGTGAGCATATTCCGTTCAGCATCTTGACTAGCACTGCGACCCATGAGAAGGCGACGAGCCAAGTCTTTCTTGTAAAAGGCCTCAAAGGCGTCCTTGCCCTCGATGAATCGGAAAAGTTCGAGAGCTTGATCCAGCTGCCTGTCCAATTCAGCGTCCTCATCTGCGCTGCTGGCATGTCCTGCTTTCTCTGCCGCAGCTCGATCTTTGACGTCGGACAGAAGCTCCTTGGGAAGTGCTCTTATGCCACCACGAAGTAGCATATCGATGTGCTTCGCCGTCATCTCACCGATCTTCGATGTGCCTGAAGACCAGCAATCGGCAATCTTCCGGTCATTCATGAACTTGCCAAATGACTCGCGCATTCCCCAGAGGAAATCTTCGTCTTTGCTGAATGCATCGCGAATGGTCAGGTCCAGCGCTCGCCGGAGATCCAAGAGGCGAATCACCATCTCGTCGCCTCTGTTCTTGTCGGACACTATTGAAGCCCCCGTTTCGCGAATATAGTCGCTCCACGGTGTCTTGAGCTTCTTTTGTATTCCTGATAGCCGGAGAAGGTCATATAATCCCTTCAGAGACTTTACATCTCGATCAGTTAACAGATTTGACAGACTTCCTCCATGAAGGAGCTTATCCGAGTATTTATCAATGAGGATGATATGCGCCAATGACATTGACTGCCTCTCTGTTGTACTGTCCAAGTTGTACGCCATGCATCGGTAATCCTCACGCTCCAGGAGTCGCTCACAGGCTTCGATGTACTCTTTGAGGCTCAGTGGGCTGCAAGTTTCTCCAAATTCTCTAAAATATGCTTCGGATTGCTGTAGGTATACGGGCTCGAAATGTTTTGTGTATACTCCCAACACATAGAGCATCATGATAGAATCTTTGAGCAGCTCGGAATCTTTCCGATTGTCTCCCCGGCGATCAAAGTTGATCAACTCGCATATTGCGGAAATAAGAAAGGCACCAATGTTTGGGCTAGGCTCTGCATTTTGCGATGAAAAGGCCATTCGGCAGAATCTCGTAATAGCCATGTCGTTTATGGATGGCAAAGACTTGAGAAGCAGATATGTGCGGTCCAGATAGCTAAAAGTCGATCTGACGAGGATCTGACATCAAATGTGTGAGCAATTCTGTTTATTACATGTTGTATGAAGTTTACGTCTCCATAAGGAAAGGGGCCATACCGTCTGAGCATTCCACGTCTTCCATTCCGCTAGCGTGCTCCTCAGAACATCAAGACTGGATATCCTGGCCGCGCTCTGTATCTTGGGGAGAACCACATTCTTCAGATGGCCATCCACCTTGTCCTTGAGCGTCCTGTACACTGTATCGGCGTTTCCCTTTCGGCACATGTCTTCGACGCCGCGGTAGAGACGCTCAAGCGGAATGGCCGGAGTCCGGCTGTTGAAGATTGCGTCCAGTGCTCCGTCCAGTTCCCGCTCCGTCCGCGCATAGTACTCCTTGATCCGGGCTTCATGGTGGACGGGACTGCGCACGTTCTTGATGACCAGCTTCCGCGCTCCACTCAGCGGCTGGTACGCCGATTGACGCTTCGTCAGGTCAACAATGTCGGGCATCTTGACCCTCGCCGAGACGCTAGCCATGGCCAAGCTGTCGGAGAACCTAGGCCTCTTAGCTGCTGAGGGCGACGACGTGGGCGACGTGGACGAGGACACGCGAGGGCGGCGGCGAGAGGTAGAAGGCGGGTCGACTGTCGCTGGTTGCATGAACGCCGCTGAGCAATCGAACCCGGCTGGAGCTGCCGCTGTGTAGTTTGTCGATGGCTCGGTGATACGGGCCGAGTTTGGTGGCACAGAGGCACAGAGGCACGATGTCGGTGCTAGGAGCAGGTCGTAGTCTTCGCTAGCAGCTGGATGCGTAATACTAGAATGGCCGGGGGGATATCGAATAATCGGGAGTGGGACTGGGACTGGACTTTGCGGGTTTTGGGTCGAGGTTTGAAGTGGCTATTATTATGTCATGATGGATGGGCGGATGGAGGAGACTCCCCGCGATAAGGAATTTTGATTGACAGCTGCCTCCAGGGCGCGTTTAGCGCCTACGACGCGCCATAGCGGGCCTCTTGCAGCGCTGCAGGTTGCAACATTAATAAGCGGCATGTGCTCTGATGGAGTTTCCAGGTTATGATCAATCGAACTAGATAGTCATAGAAGAGATATTTATTCTTGAATTTTACTTGAACTATTCCTCTTCTTCTTTTCTATTGTGTGGCTAGTATAAAGTTATCGTCCACTTTGGTCTCTAGCCGTACGTTATATGTATGATTATGGTTATCTTCGCCTATAAAACTTTATAATTTAAGTTGAGATATAACAATCAATCTGCGTGCCATTTTCAACATGACACTTTCTTATATGAGTTTGCCAATATATCACACACCTAATCTTGTACAATCTAACCCCTTTCCATAGTTTATAACCTCACCGCAACTAGCAAGTTGCAATTGTCAAAAGAAATCCCCCATTCCCGCTCATTTCGAAAAATACATGTCCCGTCATCTACGCATATGCCGCCCATCCTACGATTCAAAGTCAGTACAATTTCTAGCCATGGCTGTGAACAACACGAAATATCCAGCTATACGTACCAGAATACAAGACTGCAAGGTTTCGCTCATCTGTCGCTTGATTGATAAGATCGTTGACCATGGCCGTCACGCTCAACGTCTTTGAAAGTTTCTTCCTCACAACCTCCAAGGCTCGATCACCCTCAGACGGCTCATTCAGATGTCCTGCGGGATTCTTCCCCTTCTTTGGATCGACGTCTGCTTGAACAGCGTCGTCAATCGCTCCGTCGCCATCCTGACGAGCTTTCTGTAGCTTCGCTAAACGCACCGGCGAGACCGACCAGCTGTACAGGGGATCGTACCGCAACACGTCCAATATCGTCATGATTGAGTACTGTTCTTCTCGAAGAGCGTCAAGTGTAAATTCGCAGCAGCGACGGAACACGCCCTCAGTCTTTGCTATCCCCATGCCATCCACAATATCTCTGGTAAGGCGGAATGGAACAAGCTCTGGCACAGGCAGGATCCTGCCTGTCTCAAACGCGATACCCAGATCGATATGGACAGCCTCTCCAGTTTTGGTGTCCAGAAGAATATTGTGGCCGTGACGATCACCCAGACCTAGTACATGACCAAGCATCGATATAGCCGCTGTGCTTCGCGTGTATGCCAGCCTTCTTGCGAACCACTCGTCAGGATCGACAAAGTACTCCATGAAGAAGTATCGCATAACGGGTTGAAATCTTTCAGTGACTTTCCTGTAAGTGCTAATGCGCTGCTCTACCGTCCGATTTTGAACGTTGAATATCTCTTTTCTGCACTGAGTGCCCTTAAGATCACGAGGATTATACCGTTCATGTGCCGGCATGAGAAATTCGTGTAGGGGAATTGTATCACGGACAAACTCGATTAGCCCAGAAGAGGCCGTAAGTGGAAGCACCTTGTATGTTCGAATGCCCAGATTCCTCTGTCGAGTGGCTCTATGAAGCTTCAGTAGTGATGAGACAGCCGCGAAAACTTGCTCCATGATGGCGTCTTGGCGAAGATCATCTTGGCCACCCTTTACCAGCTGCTTATATTTCATACCATCTGTTCCAATAGCAGTGATAATTTTCGGCGCACTCACTCCAGAGGCGATTGTCATTGTTGGCTCAAGCCTCGATATCATGGGTACTGCAGAATAATCCCTATTCGCATTGACCTCGATGTGCATTGTCGGCGGAGGTATGCGAAATTTGGTTAGGCACGTCACCAAATTCTTGGCTGCCGTGGAATCTTTCAACGCAACCTTTGCTCCCGACTTGTACTTTGCAGGGTCTCTATCGAGAGCAAGGCCATGGTAGTATTTGCTCGTTTTCTCAATCGAGACCCACACATCAGCAACAGCGTTTGTGGTTGCAAGCCTTTGCGCAATCTTCTCGTTGGCCTTCACGCGAAGAATCGCTACTTCATCCTTCTGCTGCACTCTCGCCTTGGTACTAGACCAGATGTGATACATGCCATGGTACGGATGATCGACGCAGATATTGTACACCAAATCTGCGAGGAGCTGTTGAAAAGTCGAATCTTGATTTTGTAGCCGTGATGTGAGTTGACTCATAAGTCCTGCAAACTTAGCAGTCGGTACTTTGGCGAGATGCCCCCCAACCGCTCTACTCGTCGTATCGTCGTCCGATCTTTCGAACCAGAGCGCTGTGAATCGCAAGGCATCGTTGTTGTGCTCATCTGAAGAGGCAAGTGAGAGCAGATAGTTTTCTAGACTCAGGCGGACGAATTCATTCCGCGTTGTTTCAACACGGCGCAGCTCTTGCTCATCGAGATCGAGCCACTGCTTTTCCTTTGAAAGAACGTGCGTGTATTTGGCTCTGAGCTGTGAATCCTTAGTAGATGAAATAAGTAGTTTAAGATCTTCGACTTCGTCATTTTTGCCCTTCTTCAGGCTTTGTAATCGTTTGAGATCCTCCAAGCTATCTTGATCTTGAAGCTGCTCGTCGCAAAACACAGCGAATTGATGAAATACCAGACCCGCTCCTTTTGCTTCAACGTTACCTCTTAGATCTTTGAGCGCTGGCTCGAGGTATTTCTTTTGTATATCTCGAGGCTTCTCCAGGCGTGCAACAGACATCCGATGACCAATTTTCGAAAGAAGATCAGATCGGCTCACAGGTATCGCTTGCTTCTTAAGTGTTGCAACGTTATCAGCACCCTGAAGCATTTTAATCGATGAACTCATTTCTCCATGGTCCCATAATGAGTTTGCCACTTCAATCGTAACAGCGACATCAACGTGAACACCCAATGCTTCGCACGGCTTGATAAGGTCATTCAGAGCTGTCGAGATATTCAACGATTCTTGTGTGGCTTGGTGATATCTGTAAATGCTTGAAGCGAGGAGCATTGACTTAATTTCCGTTTGCCTAATGGCTGCTGTAGGAAATGTGGCATATCCTAGAGACAATGCACGCTGGCTAAATAAGCTCATTGTTGTGCCTCGACAAGAGAGGATTTGGCTAATATCGTCATATCTGTATGTGAATTAGTAGCCGTACCTTTGCTTTTGGAGAAAAGGGGGAAAAGACTTACAGGCCGCTCTTCATCCATTGGCTGCGCCCCTGAAATTGATTCATATGGCCCTCCAGTTCAGCCAAATCCGAAATATTCAATGTCTCATCCAACTCAGAAAGTGCTGCCAAAGCTCCAAGGCGGCTTCGTAATGCCGTTGCATTGCGACTGTGGCCAACCAGACTCTTCATTGTGCGAGCAAAGCCGTCGTAGATGGCCGTTCGGACTGCCGTCAGACTCGTTGCCTGCTGCATAGTCTGGTATGCTTTGTAAGTGACAACGGCATGATGGTCGCTTGCAGCCGGCACAGGAAGGTTCCATATTTCAAGTCTTCGGGCAGTTTGAAATGTACTTTCTATGGAGACCGCAGTCGAACCGAGATTCTGTTGTGTTTGCATCAGAGAATGAGATAAACCGGCCAATCCTAGAGTGCTTAGTGTCTTAACGAGTACATGAGCGTCCGATTCCGATGTATTCTGTTGTAGTCGAATGTGACTATCGTACTGAGCGCCTCGAAAAGCTAGATTCTTCGTGCCAGCTTGCTCGTATTCCAAGCGAGACATGACGCTCGATAAGCTTGCTTCCTCCGTTAAGCCATAGTACGCATCTGGATCATCGATATTCTCAAATATTGCCAATAGGGTTTCATTCATATCGACCTCTTTGGCAACAGAAGTCCTTCGCGATGCGCGTGGCATTTCTGAGGCGGCAATCTCAGTAAAAAGGAGAGCTGTCTTGTGCATCCCACATCGAGTTGCAGACGACGCTGCTAAGGCGTAGTCTATATCCAACCAATGCAGTCGATCTACTATAGATGACTCCTTGGGATATTCTTGGGTTCTGAGATAGAGAATCGTGTTAATCAATAGCTTGATATTCTCTTTAGCTGTTTGGTCAGTTGACACAAGCCATTGTTTCATAGCGTTCGAGAGCAGCTTCTTAGTTGCCTGCTGCTGCTCTAATTGAAAGTAGAGCACTAAGTGAACAATGAAAGGAAAAGATTTCTCGGCGAAACCCTTGATATTCAGGAGGCCCGATGACAGCACTGAAAGAAGGATTGAACTTGGTACTGAATGTGCAAGATATGCACTCAAACGAGGTAACCAGCTTTTCGATGTGATATCTTCAGTCCACGAGAACTGGCCACCGTCTGTCGGAGTCATTTCAGAAGGGGGAGTCCTGTATAATCCCCATTGTGATGCAAGGAAAAGCGGCTCAGACAGACTTCGCTGACCGGCTGTGACGAGCGGGCCATCATCTTCCACGACTGCTCGCGATATTGCAGTCCGCAGTGTGGCTTCAGCCAATCCTGCAGTAGTAGAGTCTGGATTTGTTGTAAGATCTTGTAGGAGATGTAAGAGTCCCATTTCGGATCCATGAGGCCCCGGTGCTATCTTCTCATACTGGTCGAGCCGTGACTCTCGCAGTATATCGTCAGGAATGCTTCCGGACGCTAGGAATGAACGACCAACAACTCTTCCTGCCCAGGCCAAGTAATTTTCGCTTAGATTTTGAGCTCCACAGCTTTTCCACACAGCTGAAGCATGATTAATCGCATGCTGGTCACTTTCCAGGACATCATTTTTTATGTGCGTCGGGATCATAAAATCGCCACAGAGGAGACCAAGGGCAAGCTGTCTTGAAGACTCATTGAGGAGCCGGCTTCCTGCTATTTCATCGTTTAGGATATCCAAAAGAAGTTTACTCTCTGATGTGTTTTTCTCCGCATTCCCAGAAGACCGTATATGAGCTGCCGACATGGTGATGGATTTGAATAAGTCATTTTGTGGCTGGCTTTCGAATCTTGGAGAGGTATACTCTGCTAGATACTGACTAAACCACTCGTGAAACTTTTGCGCCTTACTCATAGTAGCCTTGAATTGGCTCTCTTGTGTGGTACTCGACTGACTGGATTCGAGGAAGACTCTAAGCGATGCCAAAGTCGACAGAGAATAGCCAGCAAGGAACGAGGGAACTTGGGCTAAATACGTTTTCCCCCGGGAAAGTAAATACTGGCTAATACCCAGAGCATCATCTGCGCATTCAGAATCCACAATGAAGTTTCGAATAGAGGTCAATAGCATTTCCAAACAGTATGAATCCCAAGCAACTGATCCGGCTAAGCTCACTAGTATCCTCACTTTGCGAAGAACAGAGCATGCATGAAGAGAGCCCAGTGCTGGGTGAACTGTATTGAATAGCTTTCGAGCAATCGCAGCTACGACGGCTGGCGTCCAGAGGTCCTGAAACTGGAACTCAGTGCTTTGACAAAGGCGGACCAGTTCGTTGAACACAAATTTCGCCCTGAACATGGGCTGCTGATTTGGCGGAAGGCTAGCCGGAGAATGTGCAATTGCCTTGATCGCTGCCATATTTTCGCCTGCATATTTGAGGTGCGCTTGTCTTGAGAAGATTTTTTCGATAGAGTCTTCTTGGTCAATTAGGTCAAAGAAAAGTGCAACAATGTCGATGAAGTGCGTATAGGCTGAATCGATGAATATTTTGGAACCTAGCTTTCCCTTGATGCGATCTTCCCCTCTTGTTTTTTCTTCCGCTTTGGTATTTTCTCCCCCCTTTGTCTTGTCCTGGCTTGCCTGCAGTGTCTCCAATAAGCTGTATGCTAATGAGTTTGCAAAGTTCTGTTGGATAAGTTGGCTTTCAGGTATGCCGACTAGGCGAGCTATTTCTGCGCTTGCAGCATCCTGTCCTCGCATTGTTGCTAGGCCGATCGCCTCCGCCTGTGCCGATTTCAGCAGCTCTCCAAGGCTGGTATATCCAAAGATCGAATAAGGAATGCTTTCAACTGTATTGCCTTCTAGCCAAGTATATAGAAGTTGGCGAGAAAATAACTGAAAGAGATCTGCTGGCGTCTTGAGGTTTAGAACAATGGAGATATCTGATAAACATCGTTTGGTGTAGTCTGTCGATTGAGATATATTGCCCGGGGTTTCAAAAATATGATAGACGCATCTTCTCAGGAGGGTGGGCCAGCTGCAAGCTATCTTGGATAATACGAACAGGCGGAAAGCGATGCCAGCCTTATTCTCACTCTCCCTCGGGAGATTTTCCAGAACGTCCACAAAAACGTCTTCGTGCAACATCAAAATATATAGCTCGAATATACCTGCTATCCTTTCTGCAATAAAGCACTTGACTTTCATTGAACCCTTGTTCATTATCGAGAGTAAAGAGGTTCGGCATGAGGAAAGCTTCAGTTTTTTTCCATAATCTGGGTCAATCCGTAGGAGGGTGAATAATAAACGAGCAAGTGACATCTGAGTCTTTGGAGAGAGAATATTAGAAGGAAAGCAGACGTTGACGAAATGAACATACAGATCGCCAACCATATCTGCCAAATTCTGGTTATCTTGGAGCCAGACGTTGCTGAGGCCATCGATAACCTCAATACAAGCGGTTAGGGCAACTTCGCATGACTGGAATTCCGGATTCCCTACTATTCTCCCAAGCCTCTCAACAATTGCCAATGATGTTTCCGTAGAAATAACAAGGTCAGATCTAATAATCTCTATCAAGAGACGCTGGCAGGAGAGGATCTCATCATCAGACCGTGCTAGAAGATCGTCAACAAATAGATCAGGCAATAAGCCCAGTTGACTCTCATCTTGCTTGATGAGCCTCAAGAGGACTAGTCGCAGTCGTGTATCAATGTAAAACGCCTGTGGATTTAGGCCGAGTTGGGCATTAAGCCTTGGCACTGAGTAAGTGTTTGATGAAGACATAGCTTGACTGTTGGAAGAATCGAACTCGTCATCAACGTCCATAAAATCTGCGTGATCTCCTGAGCGCTGACTTGATTCCCGCTGTTCTATCATGTCAGAAACCTTTGAAAGAAGATTGAGGATGCCAGGGCTCTTTCCAAGCAGCTGGCTCAAACTTGCGGTGTTGATTTCGGGTATGCATGACCTCAGCTCTTTCAGAGTCAAGCCAATGAAGGCTGTAGGCTCGACTGAGATCAGTGCAGCTGAAAGCGCTCTCTCGGCCAAGTCCAATAAGAGCGCTTCTAAAGAAGACGACTGAGTAGAATTGAGATCGTTGAGTTGGGGCACCAGCAGCGTTCCTATCAAGCACGCAGATATGAGGCTTTGAAATCGATTAGCTGAAATTTGGCTCCCGCCATCGCTAGCTCTTTTGCCCCAGGAGCTGCACAACTCTTTGAGTTCTTCGAGTTTGGGGTAAAGAAGTTCTAAGACAAGCTTTTTCAATGTGAAGAAGATGCTAGCATCCGCCGTAAGGGGCAAAGCTTCCTTGGATGCTAGATAGCAACACTCGTGTGAGATGATATCGGCTGTCTCATGCCCTAGCAAGAGGAGGTATTCGTTGAACTCTCCAATCTCTCGCTGCGATATCCATGCCTCGCCCAGCAGGCCACCAGAGGTAATATCTTGGCGAATCGTGCCGAAGCATTGGGCTCCGCAGCACATGTATAAAAGATTAACGAGGTCAATGGGTCGTACATGAGCAGATTGAAACGACGAATATACCAACTCGCCTAGTATTCGTTGGTTAGCAGATAGCACATATCGTTTCGGTATTTCAACGTACTCGGATTCCATCGCAAGAAAACCCATCTGATAATGTAGCTTGATGTACTCTGACTAGCACTAGGCAGCCTGGAGTTACGAAGGTGATATAAATGTGACATTAACGCAAGAGACGTGTCACATATGACGCCTGGTCCATTGATATCAGCTGTTGTGATAATGTTGTTGATGTCGTCTGCCAGATGATGATATGGCAGTATCTCAGTTTCGATAACGCAATGTATCAAAAGGCACGCAGCGCGACTCGTCGCTGGAAGGCTGATTGACCGGGCAGCCGAATGCCAGATTTGCTTCCATGTGTCTTGTTGGAGTCGACACTCTTTGGACCATAGTGCACAGCTATATAATGTCAGTACAGAGTTAAGGTGAGGAGCGGTTCATATGGTTCATAATACCTCGCGCAAGCAATCAGAGCCCAAGACGCTGTAATGGTATTTTTCCCTCCAGTAAAGTGAGCAAGGTCTCCAAGAAGCTCTTCGACCTCGCTATGGCTCAGAGTATTGGTCGCTAGCATGAATGGCACTAGCTGTAAAGCAGTTCGAACAACGCCAGCGTCTTCTGACTTGAGTTTGACTCTGATCGGATTTAGATCTTGCTGGATTCGTCTTCTCTTGCGAGGCTGCTCTCCATTGTCCACATCCTGCTCGGCGACATCTTTTTTAGAACGCAGTAAAATAGCCTCCAAGTAAGCGATATTTTGCACAATGGCCCAGTGGCTCTCCCCTTCAACGTTGTGAGGCCGAAGTCTTAATAGACCAAGTTGCATAGCATGTCCTTCTGAAGCTGAGGGACCAAAGGTCAAATCACTAAGCTGTAGACGGAACGCTTCACTTCGCCTGGAATACTCTTGCCACAAAGGGTCTACCAGATTCTCCAGCTCACCGCGTACGACTTGATCTCCAAGATTGACAGTGATATGCTCAAAATGTAGATGCATAAGAATTATGCCCCGTAATATCTCATTTCTTAAGCCTTTGATGAGTTCGTCCTGGGAGACTTTTTCTGGGCGCCACCAGTAGCCCATATGGGCCAAAACATTCTTTGCTAACGTGATTGCGTCGTCCAGATTATCGGCTTCAATTGCACGAAAGACAGTGTTGATAATCGAGAAGCATAGCGTTGGCGTGGAGCCCAAGCTGAGATGCTTGATGCTCAGTACTCTCAGGGCAAGGTCGGTAATATCCTGCGTTCGTTGAAGGATAGGAGCATTGGCTGCCGATACTAGGCAGAAGAGACCTTCAAGGATATCCTTCAATGGACCTCCTTCTCCCGGTACATTCTGGCGCTGGGCTTGCAAGGATGAATTTGACCGAGGCACAGATCGAGATGAAGAGGCAGTTGGTGCGGGAGAAGACCTGGCTGCGTGAGGCAATGAAGCTGTGTTTGCCTCATTGGGGAGAATGTCGAGAGCAACGTCTAGAAACAAGTCAACGCAGTCCTGCCAAGTTTCTGCACTCTTCCTGGCCAAGAGCTCGGCGTTGACTGGCCGAGATACAAGTTCCGTAAGGGCCTTGACGTAATCGTGGAGCAGTGGCCGGACAAAGCCATTGTCAGGACCAGGCAAGGTTTGGGTGATGTGATCTACGGCAGCGAGCAGCGTCTTCCGTCCTATCTTGGAGGCGCCGCGACTGGCTGCCATCCGAACCGCGACGGCGCATTTCGACAATCGAGTTGCGGCTGTCGCCTGTGATTTTTTCTTATCATAGTAAGTAGGCTTATCCTTGAGTACAAAGGCGAATATGGCTTCGAATATCTCGTGATAGCTTTTATCTCCCAAGTCAGAGCTGAGCACAATGTTAGCGCCATCAAAGGTTGTTAATACGGAAGAGCCAGCCATACAGGTTCGTAGACGCATTCCGAGGATTTAACAGCTGGGCTAGGCCTTGAGATGGACGTCAATACCAGTTACCAAATGGGGATGGATAGAAATATTGACATACTATCTACAGATTTCGCCTGTTCTTTGACGTTCGTGCCTGACCTCACCTTCCCTGCAGTGACGGTTAGCAAGCATCATATTGGTAAGATTGGGTAGGATAAGCGCACTCGCCAAATCCATGACGCTCTCCCCATGAGAGGCCATTGCGAAAATTCGAGTCGCCAAGTCTAAGATCCAGTAAATGATGCTAATTGGGACTCCAGTTGATGTGTATTAAAGATATAGACATATGAGATGGACTCGAGTTCGCGTCGCGACAAAAGCTCATTAATAGTAGGTAGGAGTAGAACTCCACAGTAACAAATGAATGTTCGCGACAGGATTCATCAACGAGAAAAGGAGATCTTTCTTTAGAACGAACTCGGAAAAAAGAAAACTCTTGTACACGAGAGCAAGACAACTTTTGTGCTCGATTAACAGAAATAATTCACTCTGGCAGCTCTTTGGCTCCCCATGTTGGAATGGCCCACTACTGCCTAGAGTGGCCTGCAGTTCTGAGGCGCCGTGACTAGCTTTATTTACTTGAACGGGCTGAGAGCTGCATCGCGGCAAAATCTTCACCGCCTGCCCAAACTGCCCAAGACAAGGCTCAAATCTGCCAAAATCGTAACAATCCAGAAGCTCCAATCCACCAACACTGCCGTTTTCCTACGGCCGCGCACCGATTTACGCGTTGGCAGCTTCTGGGCGGCTCCCCTTATAGCGACATATTCTAATTCCAATATGCGATAGCTTGCGATTGCCAAAATGGCCGAGATTACGACATTAGACGCCCTCCAGGCCCTCCACCGCGAGCTGTTGACGCTGAGCAGCGGTGGTGGCAGCAGCTCCGACAACTTGAGCAATGAACTTCTTTTTGAAATCTTTGAGAAAGAGCTGGAGAGGCTATGGGAGCGCCCGAAGAAGAACGAAAAGAGCCGCAGCGCGGTGAAGAGCGGTATGATGCATCACCTACGGACCACGTGAAAGGGACGACAACAGCTTACAACATCTAGGCAAGGTTTCAATTGACGGCAACGAGTACTCATTGAACGACAGATTTCAACAAGATGTTTTTGCCATTTCAGACGAAATCGACTTGGACGAGCTGGACGCTGTCAGATACCTCCTCGATTCGCAAGATGATGTCTCCGTGCTGGGACGATCGCTCCTCGAATGTGCCGTGATTCGATTCCACCAACAACGAAAATACGTGTTGGACTCGTTTAGGCTGTTTTTGGAGTTGAACAACATGGATTATGATGGAGAAGAGCCGAACGCGTTAGAGACCATCAAAGTCTATGTCGATACCCGTGTACTACGAAGAACCTCCGACGCCTCGAAGCGTCTTGCGCCGAGATGTTTACGCGCGATGGCGGAAATCAAACTGTGGCTACAAAAGCTAGGAGAAAAAATAACAGCTGCTCAGACCCTAGGCAACGCGCCTGCAGATGAGCTGCCGGAGGAACTGGAAACCGTGGAATTTTCTCGCGTGAGCCTGGTTCAGCAGCATGAGGCCCTGGGCGTCATCCTATGCGAATGTATCGATAAAGGACAAGCCGAAACACCAGATTTCCTCGAATTTATCTCCGTATTGAAGAGATGGGACAAATATGACACGCTATTAGGTAAGTGTTGACAGGTTTGGAGTCAACGATGGGGATGGCCCAGCTAATGCAAATCTACTCCAAATAAATAGTTCATTATGTCCCGGCAATCGGTGCCTATATGTCTGTTTTCGCGTCATCTGAGGGAGGCTATGACCTAAGGCAGGGCAGAGAGATTAATAGAAAAATATTCCCTCCGGCAGATGACTCGACTTGGCCGCTTCCCTTTTTACATGCAACAGTTCGCGCATGGTGGCTTGCAGAATACAGTGGATGGTATCTGGATGATCCTCCCGAGTCTGCCATACCGCCAGGCACTGATTTGGATGAAGGTATGAGCCCTTTAACAGCTGCTTGACTTGAACTTTGCTAATTCAACTTTAGAGGATCGTCAGAGGTCAAAGCAGTTCATAGATTCCCTCAAAGATGGCGCGTTTGATTTCTTGCTCTCGGTAGCTGGAGACATCCGATCCCCAGACTGGCATGATTCCGTCCGGGCTGGTATGCGCAAGTGGTTACAAAGGAAATCGTCACCTCTAGTCTCTGAAAGAACCCAGTTCTCAAGCTTCTTCCAGCTGTGTTTCATGTCACAGCTAGAGGTTTTTGTCGATGCCTTTATAACCAACTTACCTGATGTTCTCCGAAAACTCAGAGTGGAAGAAGATGAGCAACGCCAGCTCAGTCAGACACATGAGCAAGATTTGGATTTGGAGAGATTCCTACTGATTATTGCATACGCCTACGAAGGACGACCCGAAGCGTCTACAAACTTTTGGCAAGATCCAGACAGCAATCTTGCTGGATTCATGCATTGGGCTTCTAGAAGAGCTTCGACGCCCCTAGTTGCAGCGTTTTGCGAGATGCTTCAAGCCATCTCCGTGAACGACGAATGTGCAACCGCTGCACATGAGTTCCTTTTAGATGAAGGCCACCATTCATCAGGAAAGATGAGAAGGACACAGTCCCTGACCTGGACTCAAATATTTAAAGAGCTTGACTTCTTCTCAGAAAAGATAAAACAGAAGCCTGCTCCAACACAAGCAGTAAGATTCCGCGGTGGAAAGCCCGCTGCTGATGTCATAGAAACCGAACCTGAGTCCTCCATGATGCTTGAATGCTATCTACGCCTTATTACTAAATTGGCGAGCGAAAGCGAGGTTACAAGACACTTTCTGCTACTGAATTCGGGCTATAATCTTGTCGACATGCTATTCGAGTTGGCCAGCAGCCCCATACCTTCTCAGCTGCGTGGCTGCGTTTTCTTGGCTTTGAAGGCTCTAGTGAGCCGCAAGAGCCTTCAAGAAAACCATGCAATGTGGAGGTGTTTGGAGAATTGGATCTCGGGAGGGTATGTCGTTGGTGCAACCGCCGCAGGTTCAATACGATTACAGCAGCCAACGCCAGTGGTATCGATGGACCGTATTTTTGATGAAATGAGTAATGGCTTCGAGGATCCCGACTCTTTTATCAAGCTCTTACTGGAACTCGTCACCCCAGCAAGCGACTCTAGTCCGCTGAACGATGGCCTACCATTCCCTGAAAATCTGGGCGCCAGTTCCCGAGCACCCGGCATTGAGGTTTACATCGACTTCGTTATTGGCCTTGTGTTTTCATCCAAGATCCAGGACCTTCAGGATGTTCATCAGACAAGAGTGCTGCGTCTTAGTTGCTTGGAGTTTATTCTTGCCTGTCTAACGTCATTCAATGAAGATCTGCTGGTTTTAGCAAACGAGACCAATATCGCCATCGACTCTTTGGTCTCGACGACCGACTTGGCGACATACGTCAGGATGCATCCTTTTGCACGAGTGATGGAGTGGATGTTCAATGATAAGGTTATGACGGCGCTATTCAATACCATTCATCAAAAGTCTACCGACATTGGAAACGCTACACCAGACTCACCACTTATTTTGGGCGTGCTGCGTGCTGTTGAGGTCATATCCAAAGTCATTGATCTCGAAACAACCTATCTCGACCTTGTCCGGCCACTGATTAAGAACCAGTCGGGCCCACGCAGGCAACCTGTTGCAAATGCCGCGTACGCTTCATTCCAAGATGGACTGGTGACCAGGTTAAATCTAGTCGTTGACCTGGGAAAATACTGCGGCATAGGCCACCCTGACCTGACTCTGGCGTGCTTGAAGTTGCTGGAGAAGATGTCATCATCATCCAAAATAACAGCTGCCTGGTCTGGAAGTAGTCGCCGTGCCCATCGGAACAAGGCAATTGTTGCCATGGAAGCCAACGGAGAGCACGAAGCCATATCAAGAGCATTCATCGCCGAAGTAATGGCGCCTCTTGAGGCAGGCAGCGGGGCAGAATCGCCTCTCTACATAACAAAGCTCTATATTCTGGATTTCTTATACCAATGTCTTCGAACGACGCCAAAAGAGCCGACCATTGCACACTTGCTACTTGGCTTTAAATGCGGACTGGATTCGGTTTCGGTAGAGGTAAACAGTGCATTTGCGTCTCGCACCTCGCTGTTCCACAGTATACTGGGTCTCTTGTTAGAGTCACCGTCCAGCGATGCTCTTGGCATGAGACAATGGCTAATTGCCATCAAATCTCGTGTGATGCGCATCTTAAATATCCTCTGGACCTCACCACTATCATCAAGAATCGCCATCCGAGAGCTCCGTGAGAATGAGCTGCTCTTCCATCTTCTTACGCGCGAGACTGTTATTCAGCCGGATTTGTTGTGGGAAGGCCAAAATGTTGGAAATCCGCAGTTTCCAATGTCTGACGGAGCCGTCACACTGGTTGAGTTTCTGACGCTGCGAAGTATGAGCTTGGAGTATATTGCCATGGAACTCTGCAAGATTGCTCAATCACGCATGCCCGGTGTTAAGAGACGCATATTCAATGCTCTGAACGGCCAAATTGTGGTGGAGAACAACGAGACGATCCAGACTCCCACTGTATTTGATTTGTTTGACTTTCTCCTGCCAGATGGGTTTTGGGAGATTCCTCCTCCATCGATTCAATTCTACAAGGATTTGGATCTTACTAGCTGCTTGGAGAAGGACGCCGACGCCAACCAGATTTACAATATAGATCGCGTTCGGGAGATTCTCTTGCTGAAGAGAGGCGAAGCGCAACAGGGGACCGTCATAGCCGTCAATGATATGGCGCTCATCGAAAAAGAAGAGGTATCAATAATGGAGTATCTCATCTCGTGCGATAGACAGAAGCAAATTGGCTCACATTGCCTCCGAGTCTTGCGATCCTGGATCAAGGTGCTGCTTGTCATGGTAGAATCCTGCGATTACAAGGGCGCTGCGCAGACATCATTCTTCCTTCAAGCACTGCAAGCCATTTTGCCAAGCTTGGAGATCTTTGCCGCAGACCGTCCGAATGAGGCTCTGGAGCTGGCCAAACTGGCGAGGGTGTTGCTATTCAAGCTGGACCTTTCACCTCTCCAGACTGAAGACAAGAACAGCAGAGCCATTGGTAACTTGGTTAGCGACAAGCTGTACCAGCTCTTCCAGACCTGTCTCCAGGCCATTGGCAAGTGGGCAGGCTCACCCGAATTAAGGTCAGTCTACTACGAGGTCTGCTACCGCTATCTAGCTGGAATGTCCGAGGATCATGGGCCATTGGCTGCTAGCCGTCCGAAGACGTTTAAGACTGTGCAGGTATATGGTGAGCGACTTATCAACGTTGTCTGCGATGATGCGTATTGCGGAGAGCCGGCATGCCAGACGTCTGCCCTCATCTTCCTGGGCGCCTTGGTCCACATGGATAGCCAGGAACGAAAGAGCTATGTTGTCGAAGCACTGAACAAGCTCAATTTCATCGGTATCCTGATTGACTCGTTGCGAAACATTATGCAAGAATGGCATGATGTCTTTGTGTCCAGTACGTTTTCTCGTCCAAGTTTTGAAAACTACCTATGAACTCTGATGCTAACCTTTTTATCATTTCTAGACAACACGGACCAACAAAACTTCCAAAACGCCCGTCTCGCTATCATCCTCCAGCTGGCTCAATCTCGCATCGGTGCCAAGTACATTCTTCACGGCAACCTCTTCCGCTCCCTCGAGAACTCTGGTCTCTTTGCTGCTGACCCTGAGCTGCAAATCGATGCGGCAAACCCTCGTGCCCTGGAGCAACATTACGATCTGCTAGCCAGGGTTGTCCGCATCATTGGCGCAGCCATCCTAAGCCGCGGCAACAACAATGTGACCCAGGGACGCAAGTTCCTTACAGACCACCGCATGCTCGTGAGCCACGCTTTGAAGCGCAGCGCCGGCATTGGTACGGGCAATGAGGGCCAGGGCTTGGAGGAGAAGATTGAAGAACTCGCAGATGCCCTAGTGGTTGTTATTGCCGCAACAAACTTCTTAGAGGTACGTCACGATGAACTCTGATTGCTATTTATCCTATGATGAGAATCGGGCAAGCTAACTTGTTCTTTTAATAGTTTGAAAATGATATCCTACCAGAGCCAAAGCCACACGAACATGCCTTCTTCCACTAGGCGAGAGAGAGATATGGGACAGACAGAGAGAGAAGTTTTTATAATACGGTTTTAGACCATGTAGGGCACAGATAATGGCAAACATGCTTTTTTTGGTTTTCCATCTAAGTTTCTTATTTTATTTTTGTTGGTTTACCTTTTTTTTCCCCTGTCTTGAATGAGAGACAGAGAGAGACAGGAGAAAATAACAGGCGTTTGCGAGGAAAGGAATTGTACAGAACACATATACAAAGAAGCATACAAGATTCACGGGAGGACGCGACGAGCATGGGGGTAGGTAGGTAGAGAGAGCAAACTGCCTTTTATCTGAAAGATGAAATAGATTCTTTTTTTCCCAAAAAGTACACGTTGTAGGATATGGGTTGCCAAAGGCAAACTGGTTGCTGCAGACAATGCTACGTGATGGCCGTATATTAATTCCCAACCTTGGCAGCTGTTCGACCGCTTATAACGAAACAGGCACCGAAATCACTTGAATGGCATTTATACAGTCACCAGCTGTGCTATGGACTTTGTTTCTTTTGAATATCTTCATATTATGCTTTCCTATTTCGCGGTAAAGGGGTTATATACAGAAGCGGCAATAGGTAAAAGCCCGAATGCAACATCGAAATGCCATCCGTCCCATATGTGGCAGCCTGGACAAAGTATCTACTTGTAATGCCGTGAAGAAAGGATAAGAATACAAAGACCGAGGGAAGAACGGCGCATCGAGAGAGAAGAAGAAAGAAGAGATCAATAAAATAAAAACACTATGGTATATACGCTTGCGCCCCATCCATGAATGTACCGCTGAGAGTCATGCCTTTATCAAAACTTGGTGGTTTATGCCCGTGGGCATATATAGATGAGCCAATTTTACTGGTGGTGGCTTCTGTGGAGGCTTTATTGTTGTTGGTGGTGGCATATCCGTTAAAAAGACCCCTCTCAAAAAAGCACAAGAAACAAAAAAAAAAAAAAAAGGAAAGAAAAAAAAAAACTCCGGTCGTAAATGGATGTAAAATCTATGTCATGGCCTGAGCTTTTCGCTTGCCTTGGCGCGTTCTCGTCATCAATTTTAGCTCGAGAGGCCAGTAGCCTTTCGTCTTGGTGGTATAAGAGTCGCGAGCCTTCATGTCAATTTTGGATCGGCACATGGGGCATTTGCCTCTGGTTGAATCGATGTTGAGCGAGGAGTGAAGGCACTGCGCGCAGAATAGGTGACCTGAGTAACAAGAGAAAATATGTGAGCAGACTGCGTGGCGTTTGACTTGGGAGAGGGGAGCGTGAAATGCAGACTCCAAGAGGAGTAGAGAAGAAGAGTAGAGAAGATGGTAATCGAAAAGCTGGACTTACCACAATGAGTGAGCGTCAATCCCGTCACATCGTCCATGCATATGACGCATTGAAAACCAGATAGCTTGGTTCTATTATCGACTTTGGGCTTTTTGAGCTCTTCGGGGACATCAGTGGCCTCGGTGAGATCAATCGTGGTGTAGTCCTCGACCTGCAGCGGCTTGGAGTCGCCAAATAGGGAGTCGTCATCGTCGTCTATGATGTGCTGGTTCGCGTCGGCACCGAGAGGCACGATCCTCTGGCGCTTGTTGCCATGCGCGGCGCCTGTTGAGGGCGAGGTGGAAGCGAAAGTGGAAGTCGGGTCGTCGAAGGTCTCGGACGTGATGGTCTGTCTCCGCGATCGTCGCCGCGCCGTAGATGCTGCGGGCATGGTGGCGGATGGGGAGGAGAGAGGCGGGAGCGCCGCGTCGGCGAGGGGGAATGGAAAAGGAAAGTTGGGGATGTCCTCAGGCTCGTCGAAGATGCCGTTGTAGGCGCCGGTGACGGTTCGAGGGAGAGCGAAGTCGTCCAGTAGGGCTGGTGGCAACGCCTGATTCTGGATAGCGCGGTGGTGGCGCTGGCGGGGCGCTGCAGGTCGCTGAGCAGTGGGAGCGGCAGCTGAAGCCGACGTCGCCGAGAATGTCGCCAGAGTCGAGGCCAGCGCTCGAGCCCGGGCACGCAGGTTTTCGGCGCGTAGGCGGTGGCGGTCGCCAAAATCAGCGTCGATGTCAGAGTGTATGTCGAAATCCTGCAGCAGGAAGGCCTCGTCGGACCTGGGCGGGGGAGCAAATGGCCGTGGTGATGGAAGACCAGGTTGAAGATCAGGTGATGATGGAGGGAGGGGCGTGCCAGCGGCGATTATGACGGCCTGGTTGATGGCTGTGGAAACGTCAAGGCGGTCGAGGCGGTTGAGGGCGTGGGTGTGGGCGTGAGCGTGGGCGTGAGCGTGAGCGTGAGCAGACTCATTCCATGTCGACGGCAGGCTGATGGAGTCGTCGTAGGCAGGCCAGAATGGCAAGGGCTGCGATCCGATCAGGGCCGGGAAGTGGTTGAAGGACGGCGTGCTGAAGTGGGCAGGGGCGTCGTTGATGTCGGCGTCGCTGCTGGCGTTGCTGGTGTCGGAGTTGCCGCTGTGATTGTTCTCGCCGCTGCTATTGATGTTGGCGATGGTGTTGGCGTTGGTGTTGAGAGGCGCTGAAAGCGAGACCAGAGGATCCAGTCCAGGGAAGTGGTGGTGTATCGAGGTCCAGGGCAGGTAGGTTGGGGAGCCCTCCTGCGGCAGGTTGATGGGCAGCGGCGGCAGAACTGGGTGGGAGAGCGTGTACGAGGACGACGAGACTGAGGCAGAGGATGGCGAGGAATCAAGCGGAGAGAGCGGCGGCCAGAGAGGTAAAGAAGCAGACGATGAATCAGCAGCGGCGGCGGCGGCGGCAGCAGCAGCGGCAGTGACGGCAGCAAACGAAGGCAGACGAGTTTGTCCTCGAATTGGTGTAGTAGGTGAAATGCTATTAGTATAGGTGGTGGTGGTGATATTATTAGAGACGGCCGAGGCTGAGGCTGCGGCCGGAGTAGCCGTTGGAGCAGAGACTGAGGCGGTAGCAGAAGCAGCAGCAGCAGCAGGATTAGAAGCAGGAGTAGATGCAGTAGAAGATATGTCAGAAAGAAAAGCCAGGGTGGACGAAGCAGGGAGTTGAAGCGAAGACGACGATGGAGCTCGCCGCGGGTACGGCGGTGGCAGACGGCGGCGTTGCAGCGGCGCAGGAGCTGCCGGGCCTGCTGAGGGTGCTGAAGGCGCTGAAGATGGCGATGAAGACAGAGGCGCCGGGAGATTCACGGCCATGGCAAGCATCGATTCTCGCCGCGCAAACTGGTGCATGTCAAACGCCATGGGCTGGTTGGGCTCGAGGCCGCAGCCAGAGCCTGAGCGGGAGCCTGGGCTGGAGCCGATTGATTGACGGGAGATGCTTGTCGTCTGTCTGAATCACAAGCAGAGAAGGATGAAGAGGGAAAAGCAGAAGCAGAAGCAGAAGCACAAGCAGAAGCAGGAGAGGGGAATCCAGATAAAGGACGAGTCAAGACAAGAACCCAGCGGTAGGCAGTCCCCGTCCCGTAGGCATCCGCAGCCGCAGCTGCAGCAGCAAATGGGAGGATTATGCCGGCTATTTCTTGGTAGTGCAATCAATGGTCAATCACCAGCTCTGGGGCCTCGCATCTCGACATGTCACTCTTTCCCTCTCACTCTCACTCTCACTCTCACTTCTCACACGCTTGATAGGTACTTTGCTGCGGGTATGGTATGGGGCAAGCCGGCTTATATAAAGAGCCAAAGTAGTATGGAGGGATGAAAATGGACCGCCGGCTTAACAAACCAGCTGCTCAAGCTTTAATAGCCAAAAACAAGTAAAAAGCAAAAAATGGCAAGCCAAAAAGTACTCCTCGGAAAGGGTGTGGTAATACAGTAGCAATATTGACAACGAGCTTGTCCGAGGCAAGCAAGTGAGAAGGGAAAGGGATTAAAAAAAAGCCACAAAAATCCGCAAGGGCCTCTTTTTTGGCTGGGCGCAAGACTAATAATAAGCTGGCCGAAACAACACTCTCTCAAAAACAAAGCAGGAAATGAGTGGAAGAAAAAGGCTGGCTACACTCGATGCTGCATGTCTCAGACCTTTTTTTTTTTTTTTTTTTTTTTTTTTTTGTTATTTGTTTGTTTGTTTTTATGCTTCTTCTTATGGGCGATGCGATGTGTCTCGTACATGTAAGTGCGGGCAAGCAAGGACTGGAAGACGCCAATCAAGGCACATGCAGCAGCTGTGCCCTGCCACCTGAACAAGCCACGTCTGTCCCGTGCTGTTGTGCTGCGCTGTGTTTTTGGTTTGTTCATTTCCTTTTCTTCTTTTTTGGGGCAAATCCAAGGCAATTTCAAATTTCGCCATCCCTTGTTGGTGCCACGTCTCGTCCCACGCACTGATTCGCTCGGATTCACGGCAGCGCGTGGCGGGCGAATAGTGCCACGAGCTCGATGGCTTATACCATCAATCCAGTAATGTGCAGTCACTGTATTATGCCTTACTACTGTGACATTTGCCCGTTATTACTCGCAGAAAGGCCACACAGTCAGCCAGGAAACGGCCTGAGTAGAGCTGGTGCCAAGGGAATCCCCGCTAGAATCTGGTTGTTTGCTTTCTCAGCCGCGGCTGAAAAGATCACTAATAAGAAGAGTAGTACTTTTCCATCTCCCTCGCATACAGTACATGTGCTCACTGAGGCTGCTGTAGCGGTGCGTCGCTTCTTCATCCTTCACATCTACTCACGCAGTCTAAGCGGCTGTATAAAGGGATGAACAGTACATGAACATGTACCCATCTGTCTTTGTGTGATATGACACTGAACACCACATCCCAACAGTGACCGAGTCAAACAAAAACTACCCTCATCCCTCAAAATGGCATAACATACAACCACTGTAGCGGGTTATACACAGGATAACCACCTTGCCGGGTCAGCTGTGTAACCCCTTGTTGCAATTCCAAAAAAACGCTCTTCTATCACCACTTACACACGTCACATGTCCCCGTCTCTCAGCATCAGCATCTTTTCAATCTTTCAAGCCCCCCTAAGCCGTCCGAGGCTCCAAGATGGCGAGAATTGAACAGCCTGGTTAGGCCCTCGTCCGAGCCAGCGCCCATGCCCCTTCACCTCCCTGACCACTTTGATGGCTTCTGCTCTGAACAATAAAAAAAATTGCCCCCCCTCATTGTTGCCTCGCCTAGACCAAATTATGCTCCTGCATCCTCATCTTGGGGTGTCACGGCTTTACGAACTAGGCCCGTGAGACTGTGATGAGTCTCCAACCACCGACTTTATTGGCTATATGTATCTGACAGTATCAAGGAAGAGCATAAATATTTAACAAGGCCCATTAGACATTGTGACAGCGTTGAGAGACTGCAGTAGCGTCAAGGATCTGATAGATGAGTAGGCATAGCAAACACAAGCATTACAGAAGAAGAGTCCATGTGCAGCAGACTTCTTTTGTTGTGGTTTAAACGGTCAATTTATTACATCAAAGCATGACTAGCTACGCCAACATCCGATTCCCATCATCCAACAACCATCCAAAAATCTAAAATACTCGCAAAGGTAAATATTCCAAAGAATCTACTATAAACATAAGAAGACTGTTTTATCGACACGTGTTTGCACTTCCATCATCACCGTTCCTCTTCACCTCTCTTTAGCTCCTAAACACACGCAAAAAAAAAAGTCAAGTTCCCCCTCAACGTATTCCAGCATATACACGAGCATCCTTTCTTTAAATCAACCTCTCATACATCCCAACGAGGCCCCCTTAATAATCGTCCTCATCAAAGCACCGTGAGCAGCGAGGCGACCTACACTTGCACTTATACCCGCACTCGCACTCGTACGTGCACGCAGATTCTGCTTCTGAACCCGAAGACGAATCGCACCATGAAGATGAGCATTCATCAGTAGCCTTTGCTGAAGAACGTCGAGCAGGAAAAGGCCACTTGCGTCTTGTCCGAGTCCGCGTCCGTGTCGTCTCCAGATTCGGCGGCGCAGATCTATGGAGGTGATTCCCTGGGCGCGCACTCGTAACATCATTGGCGTGGGGAGGTATCTGCTTCAAGTTCAACGAGTAGCATCCCGTTCTACGGGGCTTGGTTTCTTCGCCCGGCGCATCATCGTCTTCAATAGCCTCGGTAGCTGTCGTGTCCGAGCAGGAATCGGAGACCCCAGAATCGGCATCGGTCTCAGCGAGACCAGATCCCCTCAGAGCGCGGGTAGTCCTCTTACGCCCGCGGACAATTTTTTCCTTAACGATTTCCTCAAACCCAGTTTCTTCATGAAACCATCTTTCAAAAACAGTTTTTTTAACAAACATTTCTTCATAAACATCTTCATAATCATCATATTTTTCTTCATCCTTCTGCCTTCTTCTCTTCCTTGAAACGTTTCCGAAAGGCATTGCTCTATTTACCTGTCAGTCTTGTCACCTTTAGATGGCTTCTTTTGAGAGGAAAAGAACAGTACAATTGTAAAGTGACTGCAGTTGGACGAATATCTAACAAAGGCGTGTCAAAAAATTATTCGTTCCGATTTTCAGATTTAGATTTTCTGTGTGAGATTTATCTTAATCAAGAGCCTGCACAAGAGAGACGGGCAATTGATGTCGCCTTCATCCACTGTTATATATTTGAGCAGAATACCCATATACATGCGTATCATTTCAGACCACAGTGCTGTCATCGTTCACTACCGGTTTTCCTACAAAGGCCACCATCAACCAAGCAGTAAAACGCGGTACACGCCCACAATTTACAGCTTAATGCAAACAAACAATGACCACTGTTCTGCGTAAAGCAGTGTTCAGCAGCACACTCGTTTAGTTCATCGCGTCGACTTCAAGTGCGGAAAAACACAACACTAGGTGCATGTTTTTTTAGCTAATCGTCCTGATATGTTCAATGCTCTGTTCAAGACTCACGCTTCCGCTAACAGCACTTAAACCTGCATCAAAGGGGAATTAATTATTGGCTAGACTCTCGCTGCCTCGCCACGATCTGACACATCCACTGCGCAGCTCACTTCTATCAGATATGATAACAAGATCAGTTGAAACAAGCAGAATTGAGTTTCGTTAATCGATGTGCGAGGAAATGTGTATACATATATATTTGAGGTTTGTTAATAGGGAGAGAAGTCGAATCTCAGATACTGCTACACACAAATCACGTTCACACAGCAAGATACAAAAATTGTATAAGAATATTCTTTATTCATTCATAAACCACAGGCCTCTAAGCCACATCATACAAAAAAATGCATGTCTGACAGCTAGATGCTCGGGCCTTCGTCTTATCTCATGCACTCCATCACTGTAGCACTGGGTAAATAAAGCGTCCTGAAGAATGGAAGGAGGCCAGCAAGCAAATAATATGCCGCCAGGACCCCTCTTCGTCATCATGAAAGAAAAAAAGAAACCAAAAAGAAAAGTACAAATGTAGAAGAGAGAAGAGTATGCGTCAAGTCTTGAATAATACATCACTCAGACGTGTTGATGACATGCGATTAAATACACTTTTTTGCTCAAAAAAACAAGAAAAAATCCGGAAAGGGAATAAAATGTTTCCCTCTTCTTCCACTCCATCAAATCCTAAAGACTATTTCTAAGGCTGCTGTAATTCCTCCTTCTTTGTCTATAATATCACCAATCAAACGCCAATAGATGGATAAGGTCAGCTTTTGAGTTTGCTGCCAGGATATCTCATGCGCAAATAATGATTAAAAAATTTTCGAAAATGAGTGGGGAAACCCCCCATCAACCAGAGAGGTAAGAAATCAAAATCAGATTTAGTTGTTCTTAGCCAAGCTCTGGAGGTTGACAAGCTCAGCATAGCGACCGTTCTTCTTCATCAGCTCAGGGTGAGTGCCGGCTTCGACAATGCGGCCCTGGTTGAACACGTAGATAACGTCCGCCTTCTGGATTGTGCTGAGACGGTGAGCCACGGCAATGGTCGTGCGACCCTTGGCGGCTTTGTCCAGAGCAGCTTGCACAACGTGCTCGGACTCGGAATCCAAAGCAGATGTGGCTTCATCAAGGAGCAGGATCTTGGGGTTGCGGATAAGTGCTCGGGCAATGGCAATGCGCTGCTTCTGGCCACCAGACAGCAGCGTTCCCTTGCTACCCACAACAGTGTTGAAACCCTCAGGCAAAGAAACAATAAAGTCATAGATATTGGCTTCGCGGCAGGCAAACTCAACGGCCTCGTCTGAAACATTCTCTTCGGCAGATCCAAGCAAGATGTTTTCTTTGATAGTTCCCTGGTATAGCGTAGGCTCTTGGCTGACAAGCGCGATAAAGGATCG